GCAGAATTGGCGAAGTTAATTTGTTCTTTTTCAAGGCGTAAATGATGCGAATAGCCTTAGCTATTTAACGATTTTACAACGCAGAAAAAGAGCAAAAGAACGAGACAAAATGTATCAGTTATTTTTTTAACAGAGTCTTAATCGGAAAAGCCATTATACAAACTCGAAAAGAACGTAATTTAGAGTATGTTTAAAAATTTTCTTAGCTGCTAATCAATAGGTTATGGTTCTGACAATAAAAAAATTAACAAGTTTAGTGAACTAAACGAGGCGATTATTTTGAAGTCAGGTTCATAAGATATTGATTATAAAGCAATAAAAATTTAAACATACTCTTATTCATCTCTGTTCATATACAAGAATCGTTATTTATTTTATACCAAAATTGGTATAGGTGTTTGAAAGTATTCTGCAAAAAGCCAATAGCCAAAGACCATCTAGTCTACAACGTCTCCTTCAGCCACTTAAAAAACTCCCTTTGCCAGACTATACTATTTTGGGGTTTGATGACCCAATGGTTTTCATCAGGGAGATATAGAAATTTGCTCTTTATGCCTTTGATCTGTGCTGCATTAAAGGCTTCCATACTTTGACCATCTGATACCCTGTAGTCTTTACCGCCCTGGATGATATATATAGGAGTGTTCCATTTATGCACATGATTGATCGGATTAAATTTTGTATAGGACTTATTGGGAATTTCGGAAGTAATAGGAACTTCGTTAATCATATTCATTTCAGTTTTCTTTTGCCAGTGAGGTCCTCCGAGATCATAATTGACAAAAAATATTTCTTCTGTCGTACCATACATACTTACCGTATTGAAAATACCGTCATGAGCTATAAAAGTTTTAAATCTATTTTTGTGTGTTCCGGCCATATAAAATACAGAATAGCCACCATAACTTGCGCCTACTGCCCCTAATCTGTTCTTGTCCACAAAAGGTTCCTTAGCCATGTGATCTATTGCACTGTACAGGTCTCTGATATTCTGTCCGCCCCAATCTTTGCTGATTTGTTTATTCCATTTCACTCCGTGGCCCGGCATACCGCGCCTGTTTGGTGCTACTACGATGTACCCTTGACTGGCCATCAGGTGGAGATTCCATCTGTAAGAGTAGAACTGTGTCAATGCTGATTGCGGTCCACCCTGACAGTACAACAAAGCAGGATACTTTTTCTTTGGGTCAAAATCCGGAGGATACACCACCCACACGAGCATATTTTTACTATCTGTGGTCTTGACCATCCTTCTTTCTGTGCGACACGTTCCGATACTGCTATAAATATCCCGATTGACATCGCTCAGTTGAGTCCAGATTTTGTTGCTTAGATTGAAGCTGTATATTTCAGCCGCCCTGTTCATACTCAGTCTGGAAATTATCAGCAAGTCTCCTGATAGGCCTATGATATTATTTACATCCCAGTCACCTTTGGTTATTTGAGTCACCACAGGAAGTTTTTTGGTCATCCCCGGAAAATCGACATTAAAAACTTGTAAAGTACCGTCAACTGCCGCAATAAAATACAAACTCTTACCATCTGCTGCCCAAATAAAACTATTGACTGATTCATCCCATCGAGCTGTCAGATTGGTGGTGATACCATTGGATATTACCTTGATATCATTCTTATCAGCTTCAAAGCCGTCAGTTTTCATGCTCAGATAAGCCAGGTCACCATTGACCGAGTATAACGGATGCGTATCATATCCTTTGTTGTCAGCTGTGAGATTGTTTGTTTTACCTGTATTGATATTGTATTGGTAGATGTCTGTATTGGTGCTTTGTGCAGCTTTTGTACCCGAAAGTTTTTTGCTGACGTAAATGATACTTTTACTGTCAGAGCTCCAGATATAGTCTTCGTCGCCACCAAAAGGTTTCTGCGGGCAATCAAATGGCTCACTGAACATTAAATCGGTTGAAGTTGCTGAATCATTTCCGCTTGGCATCGCTTTTAAAAAAACATGACTATACGATCCATCCTCCCAGGTATCCCAGTGGCGATAGTTCAATTGGTCGTAGATATATACATTTGAACCTGCATATTTAGGATATTCCTCTTTACCTAGGAT